CTGTGGGGTCTGAGGAACAGGACTCGCACAACAGAGCTGGTCTCACCTTGAGGCAAAGGGGCAGCCTTGCACACCCATGTCAATCATAGGCTGCAGAATGTTTATGGGGGAGGACGTCGTAAACTCCCAGACAAAGCTGGGGCTGTTGAACCCACCTAGTAAAGGGGTTCCAGGTGGAGTACCTACACAGCCCACACAGGGAGTCACAGTGTTTGCCGAAACCTACGCTCTGAGAGACTCACAACTGGAGTAGGACAGCAGGGCATAGAATTAAAAAGTCTTTTGGTCAAGCAGCTGAAATAGCCACAGGAGGGCGGTACTGGTCCTGACAGGTGGCAGGAGAGTGATCGGTGACATCCCTTTTTGTAGCACCATCCAGGAGCACACGAGTCAGGAACCATTCCTAGAGATGTCTTTGCTTTTCACTTTTTTTGCTTATCCACACCAAGATGCAACCAGAATTTTGTAATTTCTATTAAACTAAGAGACACCTGGGATAATACACTAAAGGTTGGTTTAAATGTTATTTTCTCGCGTTTTGGAATTAACAAAACTATGCATCTCTCGAATAATCAACAGTGGTCTTAGCCAAAGCTAGGTAAACTGAGGTCCCATCGAGTTCCAGGGTAAATTTTTGAAGCCACAGTCATTCCTTCATACACATGCAAAAACTGAAGACATCTTCGGGCAGAAAATCTTTACTTCAAGAGCAGATAGTCCTTTGACTTAAATTGAAAACCTCTCTTCTAGGCATTTCTCTAAAGAGGACATACAGATAGCCAACAGGCATATGAAAAAATGTTCAACCTCACTAATCATTAGAGAAATGCAAATAAAAACCACAATGAGCCTGACCACCGCATTGTATTTCTGAAACTGATGTTGAATAATACTGTATGTCAACTATAATTATATATACATATAACCTCGGGACATGGAGTAGAGTGCGGGAACGGATTCAATGGAATTGTAATAGATAAGCATGATATCGGGGGTGGGAGGGCAGTGGATGGGGGAGGGGGGTTGTTACTTTGTGAGGGTGAAAAGGGTAACTATTGCATTGTTCTGAAACTAACAATAAAAATAAATAAATAAATAATAAATAAAACAATATAATACAAAAAAAAACAAAAAACAAAAACAAACAAAAAAAACCACAATGAGATACCGCCTCACTCCGGTCAGAATGGCTATCATAAATAAATCAACAAACAACAAGTGCTGACGAGGTTGTGGAGAAAAGGGAACCCTGGTGCACTGTTGGTGGGACTGTAGATTGGTGCAGCCATTATGGAAATCAGTATGGAGGTGTCTCAAAAAACTGGAAATGGAACTACCGTATGATCCAGCAATTCCACTCTTGGGTATCTATCCAGAGAAACCCAAGATGCTAATTTGAAAAAATATATGCACCCCTATGTTTATTGCAGTGCTATTTACAATAGCCAAGACTTGGAAACATCCGAAATGCCCATCGCTTGACGAATGGATTAAGAAACTATGGTACATTTATACAATGGAGTATTACTCCACTATAAAGAAGAATGAAATTGTACCATTTGCAAGGATATGGATGGACCTAGAGACTATTATGTTAAGTGAAATAAGTCAGTTGGAGGAAGACAAATACCATATGATCTCACTTCTATGTGGAATCTAAAAAACTGAATGAATGAGCAAAATAAACAGAAATGTCTCAGAGATATAGAGGAAAAACTGATGGTTGCTAGATCGGCGGGGTTGGAGATGAGGGAGAAGGGGAAGGGATTAGACAGCATAAATAGGTAACTAAAATATTGCCACAGGGATATGAAAGACAGCTCGGGGAATATAATTAATAATGTAAATATTTTGTAGGGTGTCAGATGGTCACATGTCTTGTTAGGAAGACCACTTCATGGATGGGGTAGAGGCTTGATCACTGCACTGTACACCTGAAGCTGATGTTGTATAATATTGTATGTCAACTATAATTGAATATATACATACATATATATATATATATATATACATATATATATATATATTCATGGGATGTGGAGTATAGTGTGGGAGTGGAGTCAAGGGAATATTAATAGATACGTATGATATGGAGGGGAGTGGGGCAGCGGATTGGGGAGGGGAGTTGTCACTTTGAGGGGTAAAAAGTATAACTGTTGCACTGTGTTGTACCCCTGAAACTAATTTAAAAAAATAAGAAAATAAGAAAATAAAAGCACAATACCAAATTTAAACCTACTATTTAAAAGGATTTAAATTTTTACAGCATAATTTTGCTTTTCAAATCAAAAATTTAAAAATCTACATACTGTCAACATCTTCCTTTATATATAAATAAAGTATACTCAAAACTAAAAAAAACAAAACAAAGCCTCTCTTCTGACTTGAAAGGGATTTCCAGTGAGTCATTAAGCTTTACACAAGGAGTTCGGAACTGGGTTGAATAATCATGTAATTTATATATATACTGGGATGCTCTTGAGAGTAATTACACCGGATGACAGACGTGAACCAGGACTGTACCAGGGAAACCAAGAGCTAAGGTCACCCTGGGCGTGGGCTCACTGCCTCTGAGGCTGATTAGCTAGGATTTAGAGTAGCTTCTACTTGGGCCAGTTGTGGACATTGCCTCTGGCGGGAGGAATATGAGGAAGGGACCATGACAAAAGGCCACTCACAATGAATCATTAGGACCAGTCTTTGGGACATGCAGGGCTTGAGACAGCATTTTAAGAAATTATTCTCTGGTTTTTCTTATTGAAATTGCCAGCACATGTCCTCTAGTTTCCAAGAGCAGCCTCCCAAACTGCTGCATAAATGACTGCTCTGCTGAGAGGCCTCCCCCTTCTAAGCCCTGAGCTTTTCAAGTTCAGGGACTAACATCTTTCAGACCGGCGCCCTCAGCGCTCATCATCATAAGTGATAGGATGATTCAGCTCTCTAGTGGATGCTTAGAGTCCATTCTGAATCTTGCACCATGTCCACGTTATTCATGTGAACTTACCACCTATGAGTGTTTGGGGGCCAAGATGGATGAAAGAAACTTCAGAGGGAGGACTGAGGAAAGGTTTTCCTAACAGAGGCCACAACTTCTGCAGAGGAAAGGGACTTGTTTTAAGAAGCCTGTAGAATGAACCAAAGAAAGGAAAGCTTATAGCGGTGGCTCCCAAACATCATTGAACAGCAGAATTATTTACTTTATCACTGACCATTTATTGAAAATACTCATCCCAGGCCCCACACTCTCTGAGTCTACTCAGAGATTACTCAGTTGTCTACTCGGAGACGACTGGGGTATAGTATAGCCCAGGAATCTGTATTTTTAAAGATGCTCCCAAGCATAATCCAATGCAATTGGTCCTGAGACCATGTGGGAAATGCTGGCTAAGATCATAGACATCCCTTAGAAACCAATGTGACCCCCATAAATTCATATATATATGGAAAAAAGAAAACTTATAGTCACTGAGATCAGTTAGCTCTAAGATTAGATGCTGCCAGATAAACTAGAGTTTCCTTTTATATTTCTATATCTCCTATCTTTTGTTCCATTGTATTTTGGGGGGATTTTTATTGCTATTTTCCAAGTTTTATTGATATTTAACAAGCAGACCAAAGTACACATGTCATTAAGTGCCCACAGCTCTTTGAATTTTCACAGTGATTGCACCCAAGAAGGTTCCCAGCACCCAAAAAATCCCTTTCACTTACTGCCTCCCCAGTTACTATCTGGTCTTCTAACCCCATAAATTAGTTACTTATCTTTTGTCATTTCTACTACTTTTTGTGTGTTTGACAATGTTCATAATATTTTAGGATAGTATTGTATGTATATAATTTATCACTAAATAGGTATATTGTGGTAAGTGCTCACATTTTTTCCCTAATTGGACACACAGTTAAAAATTTTTATTCCACCTGCCTTAAGGACTAGCACTGTTGGTCTGAGCTGAGGTGTGTTTCTTGGAAATTGGAGGAGAGAACATGGGCAGCGTTTCAGAGCCGGAATCCATACCCGTTGGTTCGTTTTGGCTGCCGTTGTGTTGTTGGCTGTACTACTCACTCCTTCTAGAAATTTAGGGCCATGGAATGGAGAAGGAGACATGTTTTACAGTCAGCCAAGAATGACCTTAGGGAAGTCACATGGCCTTATTGAATTTCAGTGTCCCGGCTTCCAGACACTCAGCAAGTGCCTGTTCTGTTCTTTGCTTCCTCTTTCTCCAAAATCCGCAAACACGCTGTCTCCCCTTGGAAGTGTTGATTTGCATCAGTGTCTTGGAGAGGCCCTGTGGGTTATGAAGAGCCTCCTGGCTTTCCTTTGACCTTGGTTGAAAGCCATGTATCTGGGTGGAAAGACATCAGCTCCCAGTGCCCCTCTCCTGGTTCTCTCATGCCGCTGAATGTGGAGTCCATCCCAGGCCAGCTACACGGGGAAACCTCTCCTTGCCCTTGCACCCCACCCCCAACTATGGGGGCTTGCAGGAGAGCAGCTCAGCCCTCCGCACTGCAGGCTGTAGAAAGAATCCCTGTATTTTCCTTGGTTTGATTTTCTTAGAGTTTGACTTTCCTAAACTAGCAAGATTTTGAGTGGCAGGATTAGGGTGTGAATTTATCAGAAAGGGGCCAGAGAGAGGACATGGTCGCCTTTAATCCAAACCTTAGGAGGTGTCCAGCTCACATGTGACCTGCCCGGCCCAGGTCAGCAGGGGAGTAGGTCACCGGGGTTCTGAGCCCAAGTATTAGTTAAGAATGAAGAGTAGATTTGTCCTCTGCACCTATCTTCCCGGGAAACCATGGGAAGGGTGGACAGCCAGCGGAGGACTGGGGCTCGTCCTGGTCAGAGGTTCTTCCTCCTCCCACAGCCAACAGTGGCTGTTGCCTGAGAACGGCCCTAAAGAAGGGCCGTGTCTGCTGCAGTCTCAGTTTGTCCCCCTGAGGCCATTTTCACACATCTGTCTTTGTGCAGCCAGCCCATCTGTTGGTGGTTTTTTCTCTTTCAGGAGGAAATGGGCATTTCCTGTGAACTGCTGGAATCGGACTTCCTCAAATGCAGTGTGGGATTTCCTTTCATGAGGTCAAAGTCGAAGGTAAGGGGCAGAGATGGGCCACTTCCTCGGCAGTCGCCCCCAGCCTTCCCACCAGCCTCTGACTCTGCCAACTGCCTCCCCCTGAGGTTTCCTCCTGCAGCAGCTGGGGTGGCCAGCAGAGCTGTGCCTGGGCATGGCCATGCTGCTGTGCAGGACGCTCTACTCCAAGGATACTCCAGAGAGGCCATAGCCATGTGGTCTTCCTCTTTGATCCACATGATGTACTGAAATGTGAGAGACCCACCATAGCCTTCACACTTTGACAAGCAGCAGCTGCTTGGCCTTCTTGAAATTTTTGTTTCTGGGACATTCCATGCCACTTGGAGCTCCTGAGACAAAAATAAGAGAAGATGCGAGTGATCTAGGCTAATGACCTACAGTTCTGACTCCCCTGGGTATTCACAATTTTCTTAAGAGACATCTTAACATTATTAAAACATAAATAATTGCATTGCACTTTATTTTTTTAAGTAAAAAATGACAGTCACTTTGATATTTATAAGGAGCCAAATTTTCTAAGCTCAACAATAATATGACACAGCCTATTCAGACATTCATGGAACATTCTATATGTCCTGTCATAAGGAGATGCAAAGATACGTAGAAGATGTGATTGTTGGTGGCAAAACTAGAATCTAAAATCTGCCTTTTGAATTGGAAGTGATTATCCCTGCTATGATTTGAAGGAAATTTCATATTCCTTTGTCTATTTTTTTCCCCTCCTAAAATAAATGAAAGCTTAATCCTCCTCTCCTGCCTATGTTATAGGATCGGGTTGTTTTAATCTCTAAGGCTTTTTGGTCCCCATACATAGTAGCTGTTTTGTAAGCCAATTGTGAGAGACTGTTCTAGTGAGAAAGATTTGCTCGGTTCTTAGCAAATCCCTTGAACCCATCAGCCTCCTTGAAATGTACCTGCTCCAAACTACTGTGGCACTTACATGCATAATCCCGCGAGCCTTTTCCTGGCTGTTTCTCATCTTCCACATTCACCCCAGGAAAAGCAAAACCTCGAGAGGTGGCTGCCTTTAGAAAAGGGATTACAAGAGCTGGCAGAAATCAAGCCAAATCCTATTAGACTCCAGGTGGGGTGAGGAGGAAGGAGGAAGACCCTGAACCTTGGACACCATGGCCTGTGGTAACGTACATGGCACCTCCACACACATGTCGTTGAAATCTATTGAGCAACAGAAAATAGACTTAACTGAAAAAATGTAACCGTTGCCATGTCATTATAAAAGTCAGCCTACATCCCGAACAAACCTAAGGTCTGTCTTGCTAGTTTTAGTCTAAAGATTATTTTAAAAGGAAAATTTATATCACTATCATAAATGGATCCAGGATCACTTGCCAGAAAGAGAAGGTAGTCGTAAAAATGGATACAGTGAAAACAAAGCAGTGTTGAAATGTGGGACATTCAATTTTGTCAAAATTCATTAACTCTCAAAACAGTCATAGAACCGACAGAAGAATGAATGTTAGAATGTTGAGTTTTTTCCTACCCGGTAATGCCACTACCTTCCTCCCACATACAGAGGGTAAGACCTGTAGCAAGGCTAAACCTGGAGGCAGGGCATCTGGGCGTAACTTCCTTGGAGAAAGCCTGCGAAGTGACCCGGCAGGGACAAGGGCTCCCTCTGTTTGCATCCCAGCTTGCCCTCCCCTGTCCCTCAGACCCTGTGGGTCATCAGGCCACAGGCCCCCTGCCGAGCCTCACGACTACACTATTGGCTTTCTCTGGTTGGCCATCTGTTTCCCTCTCATGACCAGCCTGCCCTGTTTCTGACCTTCTATTCTCCCAGGCCTCCGTCTCTGGTTTGTCTTCTCACCCAACTCTTGTGCTTTTCATCTCACCGTGCTCTTGAGTGTGTTTAATTCAGATCTTCTGCCAGTACCGACTCTTTGCTGGGATAAGACCCTTGCCTGTCCCTTCCTCTGTGCCTTCTGGCTCTGCCTCCTGTCCTGTCTCCATGCCCCACCCTCACTGGAAGCTGACAAGTCCCACTGCGACAGAAACGCTTGTCTAGAAAGGGCTGCCCAGTGGCCACTGTAGGTGATGGTCCAGTGTAATGGTCCAATTTTCATTACTATCAGGTAGCATTCAGTTTGGTATAATCCACTGTTGCAAAATTAAACCATGGCTTGGAATTAGTCATAAAGGAACCCAAATATTTAGATATTAAAGAAGCCATAGACTTTCAGAGCTTGATGGAGTTTAAGAATCACTTTGTCCACCCTCTTCTTTTCATTGAAATGCAAAGAAATTAAGTGTCTTGGTAAAGATTACATAGTCAGTTTGTGGTAGAGCCTGTTTTTGTAACTCCCTACCCAAAGGTTCTTCCCACATTCCCACACACATATACTGGGGGTGCCAAAAAATGTATATACATTCTAAGAAAGGAAAAAGCTGTATTAAAATTGTAATACTCAATATATACCAATAACAAAAGATGAATACAAGTCATGTGTATACACTTTTTTGGCACCCCCAGTATATGGTGAAAACCATTGGCTCAGGGCAGTGTTCCCCACATCACAGGATGGTCACCACTGGGGGCACCCGAGATGATTTTAGGTGATATATGGAAACAGCACTAAACAATATTGACTCCAACAGTGAGAAAGTTATTACCCTTTCAACACTCTTTCAATCCTAACTACATGTAGGAGATCTCCGATAGTGCTAGCATAGCTTTAACACCTCCCCGTCTTTGTTAATCTCCCTTTTACCAAAATAGGGTAGACCTTAGGCTCAGAGCCTTCAGCAGGCAACAAAATTCAACATGACTTTGCTTTCACTGGGCTTATTTTTATGACTACCATCTTTTTATGGCAAGCGATTCTAGATTTCCATCTAGGATAGTGACATCAATTTTAAAAGAGTCTTTAAACAAAGTGAGGCAATAAAACTATGAGGTAAATATCACAGGTTATATGTTATGCAGATGTGAAAAAAAATTGGGAAGATGGTGTGTGTGAGTGAAATTTAGAAAGTCCTGATTTAAGAGATAAACATATCACTTCCTAAAGAGAACCCCAGTTGCTGAAAAGGACTCTTGCGAGGGCGTGGTCCAGGCCTGGTTGTATTGTTAAAGCTGTGTGTCTGGCCTGATCATCAGAAAGATATGCATAAAAAAATAAAGCTTGTCATGCAAATGACGTCCCAGAGGTCACATACTACTGGAAGATTGTGGCTACCACGGATTAATTTGGAATACCTGCTGATGGCTCATGTCACTTTCTTTTTTTTCTAGTATGAATTCAGTGTGATCTTTGATACAAGCCACCTGTCAGGGGAAGAGGAAGTTCTTAGTTTCATCGTTACTGCTCAGAGGTAAGAGGGATTTAAACTTTTTTTTTCAGAGATAAAATGTCGATGGGGCCAGAGGACAGGCCCTGGTCCTGCTTTGATGATTCCCAGGATGCTGAAGGGAGAAGAAATAGTTATTTAGTGATAAAGCCCCAAAGCACTGGGTGGACTCAGATCTCCCAGGGATGGTGCTTGTCTAGTTCTGCTTGCACAGCACCCTGCCCCTCTTTCACTGTCCTTGGAGGACGTCTAGGACAGTCCTGTGCTTTCTCAGGTCACTCTTGGGTAATGCGAAGTCCTACGGTCACTTCAAGTCTCAAAACAAGTTCACAGATCCGTGAAGTGTCCTGTCCCATAAAATAATCAAAACTTGACGTTAAGCCTTCCTTGCTTGGCCAGGGCAAGGCTGCCGGAGGAGAGCCTGCCTCGTGTGAGTGATCCTGCTTCCCTCCAACTGTGCTTTTTCTGGCCCTCCCCCCTTTTCCTGAGAGCAGTTCCTGAGCCCTCCAATCTCACAACAGGGGTGGTGAAATGGAAGAGGCCTAACTTAACAGGTACTGGGCTGTGCAGGTGTTCAAAGCTGACTCCCTTTGGAAAAGGGAAAAACCTTTTCCAGCCTCAGCCCCTAGGCAGCCAAAGATACCTTCAGCATCTGCTGCTGAAACTGTGCCCCCTGGGACAGGACCAAAGGTGACCCCGCACTGGCTCTCCCATCTAGATCCCACTCAACGATCTTTGCCCAGACAGTCTCTGGAAATGCAGGTTGCTTTTGTGCGGTCACCTCTCTTTCACGCTGCCATCAGAGGGGAAGCCAGGCAGCCCTTCCCCTTACATTTCCTGGGCAGGAATCAGACTGTTTGATCAAGGTTCCCTGAAGCTTGACTTCAAAAGCAGACATCTTCTCCCCACCACAAACAGTTTTCTCTAAAAACCACCTTCAGAAATTCTTTCTCGACTCTTCTTTTATCCTTGACGTTCTGGCTTGGATTTTTACCACCAGACATAGTAAATCCTTGCCTAGCGCTTTCCTCTGAATTTTGGCATCTGTTATGCCTCAGCCAAAGTTTGCATCTTAACATCCTGTCATCCTCACCCTGAGGATTTTCACAAGAACACCAGTTCCACAAAAGTTAGACTAAGATCCTTCGCAAGTCCTGCATCGCTCGGTATCTTCCACAGTCCGCACTTGCCTCTCACTGATGGCTTTGCCTTCAAGGCCCCAGTCTCCATCTTCAGTTGCTGGGCATTTGGGAAGCCCAGGTCAGATCACAACAAATTTAACTCAGCAGTGGACAGCAGCAGTCCCCCTGGATTTAGACATAAGGAAGCTTTATTTTCATCTCCCACTACCCTTTAATTTTGTTTTCATTTGAGGCCTTCGTCAGCTCCAACATTACATAAAACTCACAGACTTGAGATTAATTTTCCCTTGGGAATGGCCCTGGAGCTGGAGGCATACATTCTCAGAGCCCCTACATCCACAACCACAAGAGCATATTTTTGCTTTTAATGCTGCTTTCTACATTTTTTCAGCATTATCCCAAATATTTTGGAGAATGTTCTTGCTCCTAAAAATAAGAGCACAGCATGACACCGTGGTTGCTTGGCCTTCTTGACCATGTGTTATCATCTCCAACTTGAGCTCCAAAGTTGATAACTTGCTGGCCTTTTGTTCAGCACCAGTTGGAGTTAATGAACATGAGCGCTGTGTAGCCTACATATTGTGATGGGATGTACAAAGTAGATGTAACTAATAGCAACAGTGAATGCTAAAATATAGCCCAGTAATCCCAAAACTCCCACACAACCTTCCAGGCTGGGTTTATAAGCTTTAAAATCATGCAAGACTTGGCTCTTTTCTGTTCACACTATTTTCAAGATCGTGTAGTTCACGTTCACATAAAAGGTGACTGTGATCTAATAGACACACGTGCAAAGCACAGAGAAGGTGGACTTTGTTCCCATTGCTAGACTCCAGAAGGACTTCAGTGGGGAGGTGGCATTTCCACAGTGGAGTCTGTTTTCAGGCTGAAGAAACATGGGCACGGCGGTGAGAATGTGCATGGGACAACCTGCTCGGTTCCGCCCATGTGGGTGGGTGGGTGGTGCAGTGAAGTGGGCTTCACCAGCCATCTCTGAGGAAGGGCGGGGGACATACAAGTGCAGCGGCCGATGGGGCTGAAAGAGGAGACTGGGTTGGGCTCTGGAGGGCCCACGTAGCCTCGGGAAGCCTGAACTACTTCCCAAAGGCACTGGGGAGCCACTGAAAGTTTTAGAAAAGGGGAGTGACGCGATGAAATAGCTTGTCCACAGAGCATGAGATTGTCAACTTTAATAAAGGGAGGCAGATGCCCACTGACACCTGAAAATTCCCATTCTCCTCCCCTTTCTTGGATCCACAGAAAACTTACTATGTTGGGCAGATCCATCAGTGGGCCCTCTTGTTCCCTCAACACCTGGGGCAGCCATTATTCCTGGGAAGGTACATTTGGGCAGGACATGGGACATGAAAGAGACGTGCCTCGTCCAAACGAGGAAACTCTACCTGCCTCCCGACTCCAGTCAGGGCTACTCAGAGGTATGAAAGGAGGGCTGGCCTCCGTTTCGAATCACATGTCCATAGACCAGTGGTCTGCGCCCTCAGGTGCCCATCAGAATCACCTGGATTCTGTAGCTTTAACAGCTACAGATGCCTGGTCCACCCCACAGAGATTTTGATCTCATTGGTCTGGGGTGAGAGCGGGGCTTTGGGATTTTTTTAAATGCTCATCAAGTAATACTAATGAACTGCCAAGGCTGAGTGAGAACCACTATCCCTAGTCCCTCACTCTATACTGGGCACATTTTCACTCAGCAAACACCTGTTAAGATCCTACTGTTTACCAGATGCAGTGCTGGGCCCCTAAGAAAATTATAATAACTTACTAACTTCAAGAACATCCCCTTATGTACGTTAATATTGCCACATAGCATCAGGGGACGCCTAGTTATCTGATCTGCTAATTCTTTGAATCACAGATGTTAAGGAAGCTATATTATCTGTTAAACACACAGCAGACTATTTCAGACACTCATCTCTTCCCAGACTTTGGTGAAAATCTGGTGTTACTGACCCAGAGGGCACCTACAGCACTTGACTCCCTGCTATGACGGAACTGATCCTCAAAGTTTCTTATCTTGAAAGCCAAGTTAAACTATCAATCCCGCTGCCTTTCTTCCCGTCACCACCCTTTGAAGATCTCTTGCCCACTTGTGCATCCAGAAAGACATAAAGTTGAGACTAAACAGTTTCTCAAGAGCTCCCCTCTCAGCAGCCCGACTTTGCCGACCTCAGGGACAGCATCCCGAGTCACACGCTTGCAGAATAACTGGAGGCCTTTTGATGTTGGGCCTCTTTATCTCAACTTTTCAACTTGGCTCAGCCTGGAACAGTCACCCGATGACAGATGAGACTGTTGGGCCTGAGCTGCCAGCGGCCACAGGTGGCTGGACAAATGGCAGGGCAAGAGGTGGCACTTCCATCAGGAACAGATTATGCAAAGCTGGCAGGATGCTGAGTGGGGGAAGGGTGCAGCCCCCACCCCCTGAACCCCTCTGCGTTGCCATCGCAGCCATAGGGGAGTTGCCTCTAGCCTGTGATTCTCTGATTTTTATTGTCCCCTGGGAGAGAGAGGACAAGGAAGTTAGACCAGGTGGGCACCTGATTCCGCTGCTCCTGCAAACTGTGGCTGCCCTCTGAGTGATGGATGTCACCCCATATGCGGAAGACAGATGAGGAGTCAGAGGTCGGAGTCACAGAGCCCCATTGTTTCAGAACAATAGGAGAGAGGAGAGGGGACGTGAGTGCTATTTAGGTATTGTTGCATTCAGCACTTGCTGGCTGAGAGAGGAAGGGCAGGGGGCGGGCAGGAACTCTGCACATGTTCAGGGAATGGTGTGGTGGGAAGTGGCCCAGAAGAGCTGTGCCCAAACCTCAGTGGGTCTGGCGGGGGGGCGGTTCTTACGTTCCACTCCCGGAGGGTGACCTTGGCTTTCGACTGGGATGGTACATTCATGCCCCGTGGTAGAACCAACTGTAAATGCTGGGTTCAGCAACATGCACCCACCAGCCATGCCTTTTCTCAAGGCAGTTCCGTCCCTGGAATAATCATCACAATTCATATTTGACATGTAATAAAATGGTAACCGCCTAAATCTGGTATCAGGAGGAGGCGTCACAATGGAAAAACCCTGTTTTCAGAGTCAGCCTAACCTGATTCGCTGTGGGTCCTTGGGCCAAGTCACCTAATCTGTCTGAGCTGCTCCTTGCCTGTCAGAAGTGGGTAATCCCTTTCTCTGGGGTCACTCTGAGGACCCAAGGAGATCATGCTGTGAAATGTGCCTGGCACATAGCAGCCGCTCAACAGATTCAGCTCCCCTTTCAGAATGACCCCACAAGAACCCCCTTCCTGTGCTTTATCACCCCAAAGGGGATGCCTGTATGGGGACAGCCTGTAAGCAGAAGCCTATAGCAGGAACTCCCATAGTACTTATGGTGACAGAGTTGGCCAGGGCCTCTCTCTTGAGCTTAACTGTCCATGGAAGATGGGTGACACTTCAGTGGAAAACAGCTACGGAAGTCCAGCAAACCCCTTCCTGGCTGCAGTGCCCCCACCTTGCTGGGCCGTTATTTATGGAACAAGCACTTACGGAAGAAGCACACGCTGTCGATGCCCATCCATCACCCCTCAGCGCTCACCTTTCCCAGTCACCACTGCACAGCTCCCAGCACCTGCCACTCTGCCCGAGGCTTTCTCTGGCCAGAGCCCACTCACCTGTGTGTAGGGCTGGTGCCAGGGAATGACTGCCCCCTCCCCACCTCCCCCAGCAGCAGCAGCAGCAGGTCTCAGGAGTGAGTGGATGAAGGCCCAGCTCCCGTGCGCTCAGTTGGTAAGACAGGTGTCCGCTCCTCGCTGCGTCCCGGAGTTCCCCAGCCAGACCAAGCCCAATTGCTTACATCACTCACCGCCTGAGTGACATGCCTTTATTGTCTTCCTCCCCTTCCCCATCTCCCTTCCTCACCCCTGACTGCTATTTCCTGGGGTCAGCTCCCCAATACACTACTCACACTCATAACTTTATGAGGGGAACACAGCTGAGACAGCAGAGAGCCCACTGCGACTCTGCACAGGGACCGAAAACAGAACTGAGGAGAGATAAGAGGCAGAGTCAGCCCTTGGAGCGTATAGAGCTAGAGCTCTCAATCTCAGCACAGCAGCCTGCTGCCAAGAGCGGGTGCTGACCAGCCTCGTCCCCCTCTTCCCCTGCAGCGGCAACGTGGAGCGCGCTGAATCGCTGCATGACAATACCCTCACACTGCTGGTGGCGCTGAAGCACGAAGTGGATACGTCCATCACTGGGTGAGTAGGCCAGCCCTGCGTTGCCAGAGCTTGGTATTCGCATATGTCGCCAGGAGTCAGCGGCCCTGCCACATCCACTTCTCGCCAGCTCTGAAATGCAGCATGAAGCTTTAGCCACAGTGACGCGGGCCCCCCTCCCTGGTCGCCTCCTGTCCCAGCCACCCACACAAGGAGTCCGATGACAAGCTTAAGCACCATAATTTCTTTGAACCTTCCGTACATCTTTATCTGCATGTATTCCCAGCGCCTACTCCTCCAGAGTGCCATATGGAAGCAGGCAGCGTGATTCCTGGGATTAAAATCTCAGCCAAAGGCTGCTGGGCCAGAGGTTACAGCCAGATGTCCCAGTATCCTAGCTGGCTCCAAGGAAGGCTCGCCTTTCTAATTAGCTTCGCAGTCAGTGCTGGCTTCATGTGTCTCTCTGAACCCCTCTGCCGAGCCAGCAGCAGCTGTGCCTGATGTCTGCGGTGGTCTGGAATGGGCAGGGAACCATCAGGATGGGCACACCACACGCCCAGGTGATGTCCAGACCACTCGGTGCTGCTGGCATTGTTGCAAAGCAGGGCTGCGGGACCCAAAACAATCGGAGTCAGTTTTCAGCCAAAGCCCAAGCCCAGAAAACTGAGAACTTAGTTCCTGTTTCCGGCTTCAGAACACAGAGTACATACCTCTTTGATAGTGGAAAAAAGATTGGTACAATTAGTTTAGATCAAATGAGGTCTCACTGAACCCTTGCCCCAGGTGCAGGCTGAACTTTCTGGAGGTCCAAAGTTTCTCATTTTTCAGTTTTCCAGTGCTCTGGGCCGCTGTCTTGGCCAGAAGCAGAAATGTTAATATATCACAGAAGGGGCCATTGCGGCAGCTCATGCTCTCCTGGGTGCCCAGGAATGGGCCGTCCTGTGCTTTTGGCATTTTTCATCACATTCTTCAGAAGTGAGGCTTTGGTGGAATATATTTGCAACTTAGCATAGGTTTGCTTCTGTTCGTGGATCTATTTTTAACCATATAGTTTATTTACTTGTCTCATCAGAGGCACAGTGAGACGATGCCCTGAAACAAGCCCTGTCCTTGGGGACCAAAGGGAAAAAGCAGTCACTCACCTGATCCTGTTGTCAGGCCCTAGGAGGCCTCATTGTGAGGTGTTAACAGCCCCTGATGAAGCCAGCGGTTAAACAAATGAGTCAACTGATCTTTCCAGGAACGTCAGGGCGAGTGTAAAGGAACCAGTTCTTGCCATTTGATAGCACCGGGACTCACTACATTTCTAAAGGAATACACTGAAGTTGAAAATAGATGAATTGCTGTCCATTCAGACTCGGTACCAAAAATCTTACATGATTACTATTCGGGCAAGTGTGCAGCGTCTAGAATCTCATCTAGACTCCATTATTTGTCTGGGAATTTGAGTGAATCTGGGCTTTGTCTTATCTTGGGGTTTGTTGATCCAGGCAACATTGAAAGCTTGCTGCAAACTGAGCTTAAATTCTTAGTCACATCTTACATAGCCACTGTTTGAAATCTGAAGAAAAGTGCTATCATCGAGTGGACTGCATTTTTAATACTCAATTTCTCTTAGCTTTGGTAGTCTGACAAATTTAAATTTTTAAGATGAATTTGTCACAGAGTGGGGTTTAGGATGCTAAATACATAATTCATTTATATTTATTTCCTAAAAGGTTGCCATGATCTTCTTCAATCTACATTTTTTAAATGGCAAAACAGAACATGTATAATTTTATAACTCAGTTAAAAAAAGACTGACATCAAGACTACCATATAGTCTTCCTCTTCATTTTAGAAATGTAATCCAGTACATATTCCTATATGTAGCTTACTGATTTGACCTAAGATGAGGAGACATTACTGGAAATGTCTGTTTAGAAAGCATAAGTCTGACTGTGTCCATTTACTGGAGAGAGAAGTAATTCCAGAAGAGAACTATTTGGTGGAAGGTACTAGAGGGAGCCAGGTTCCATGGAGACAGATATTTGGGTTCTCGGGATAGCAGTGACCATGGATTGCTTGACCTTGGGTTGGGATGACGGGTTCATGGTTTCCTCTTTCAGAATCATGTCTCCAACCTCCTTCGTGTACGGCGAGTCTGTGGACGCATCCAACTTCATTCAGCTGGAAGACCTGGAGTGTCATTTCCAGCCCCTCAACGTCACCTTTCAGGTACCCACCTTTGGAGACTGTCTCGGTCATTGGGGGCCAATGGAGGGCCCATGGGATGTGTCTTCTACTGAAAGGCAACCGAAGGGCCAGGCTGTTTCCAGGAGAAACTCTTCCCAGCCTGGATGACTGGAGTGTGGTATATGTGTGTGTGCGCGTGCTTTCTTTAACCACACACAGAATGAATCCCTTTCCTCACTGGTACGCTGCTGTGTAGACCCCTCTGCTTTTCAACACCTGGAAGGAGAGCTGCATGATGAAACCAGCTCTCCCCAACAAGGTTCCTGAATGCTGAGGTCCAGGCCAGCATCCCAGCCCAAATGGCCCTAAAGGACCCCTTTCAGTTCTCCATCAATCTTCGCATTATGCACAGGGCAGCCTCAAGGATTTGCCATGTCCCCTTCCTCCTGGGGTTCTCCATGCTGACTCAGCCAAGAGCCCACTCCCCCACAGAGGGTCAGCCTTTCAGAAGTGCAGTGTTCCAAGAGCAAAGCAGTGTGAGCATATGGGAGGAAAACTGCTGCTCCCTCACAGAGCAGGGGCTGACTCTCCCCAGTCACCCCAGCATCATTTCCAGCAGGGCCACTCGGTATGGACTCTGGGTATCGTGAAAGGCGCTGTTCCTTCTTTTTCAGAAACTTTTTCTGAAAAGGGCCAGAGGGTAAGTATTCTAGGCTTAGCCAGCCACACAGTCTCTGCAGCAACTATTCAACTATGCTGCTATTGTACAAAAGTAGCCATAGGCAAGGCAGATATAAAACAGTAGTGATGGATGCTGAAATGTGAATTTCGTGTCGTTTTCACATATCACAAAATTTTACTCTTCCTTTGATTTTTTTCCCCCTACCCATTTAAAAATATAAAAGCATTCTTAGCTTGCAGGCTATATGTGAAAACAAGTGGCAAGGCCAGATGTAGCCTGCAGGCCATAGTGTGCTGACCCTGCTCTAAAGTACAAATTCTCAGGCCAGCACTGGTCAGTGTCAGACTCTTTGACTGTAAAGCTAGAGGTCCTCAGCATCAGCAAGTCCATTCTCCTCAAACACAGGATGACAAACACAGGGAAATGTAGGCCCAAGCAGGAGAGGACATGCCGCAGGGCCCAGAGCTGGGAGAGGTGGAGGTGAGGCCAGGGCCAGGACTGGTCTGGCGTTGACTGTGTGGACCAGCACCCTGCCAGGCGCTGAGGAGGAAGCAACGAATAAGGAATAGGCCCGTCTCACCCGCAGTGCAGCATAAGCTACATCCCACATGTTGCAGAGCTGTCCCCTGCCTCCACCCCATCTTCCCCCAAGGAGAAGAGGGTTTCCCAGTCTGACATTGACAGCTGTGGCCAAATAATTATTACTTTTCTGTTCCTGTGGCCACTCCTCGGTGGACCGAGGGGATGACAGATAATGACGGGGTGAGGGTCTAAAGAATGAGGCAGTAAAACATTTGTGGGGTCTCACAAACAATGGTCTTCCCCTCTCCAAAATGTTCTCCCAGGCAACAGACCTTGGAGACCGTGATAGATAGCACATGTCCCCAGCTCAGAGAGGATGCGCCTCCCGGCCAGCTAAGCCCAGCTGTCATACCCCACGCTTGATTTACATGAATACAGGGAAAGATGGGGTTAGAGCTGCTCTTGAGACCTTGGAGTGATTGCTGTGAACAGGACCTCTGTGTTTCTGAATTGCTTCTCAGAATTCGTTTATTTTTCTTCATTGCTTTTTGTAATTGGATGGAAAACAGATAAAGACCAGATGGAGCTATTTCATTTCACTTAAATCACTTTAATTCCTTTTTGAGGTGTCATACAATAAAAGATACAGTCAAGGAAATTCTCTAGAAGGGCACACATGACGCACACCATGTAGAGGGTACACATGTTGAAAGGAGGAGGCAAAAAGGAATAGCAGCTACGCAAAAGATGCAAAAGTGTTCTTATCACCCTCTAAAAAAAGAAATAAAGAAATCTGAGGGTATGTGGTTAAGTCATGTTTCTCTGAAGGCATTTGTACAGGGAGCTTAAAGTTTGGTATTCAAACAAAGAGCTTTCTTCACATCTGGCCTGACATAGCATACAGACAAGAGAATCAGGGGCCCTGAATGACTGATCGACATGCCCCTTAGATAAACCTCTTGATTATCAGTTGCCTGAGGAAGAACATAACATTCCATCAGGATTAAGAGAGCTGGCTGGGTCTGAAAGATGGATGGCGTGTGTCATTGATTAGAAGGAGATCCTCTTGTGTTAGCAGAGCTGACAGTTTCTTTGAGATTTTCCCTGATGACTCATTTTCCGGTGTAATTGTCATTATTATGACCATCCTGCTGGAAGGCCACTGACCAGGTCAGTGGTGATAATGACCAAAAGGTGGAGATTGTGGGGGAGTATAGGGTCAGGAATATGGGGTCAGGAATATGGCTAAAACGCTTCTATATTTCCTTATTCCGGCAACATCACTCCTGAACAAGAGCACATGACTTTTTATATAAAGAGACCTTTTGTGTCTTTTAAAAGCTATTACTCAACAAGTTACGTAATTGTTTAAAGACTCCACTATAATGCAGATGGAAGAAAGGTGGAAATACTAGTCTTGAGCCTGGTTTCTACATTTCGTCAGAGTTTTTCTAAACCGAGACAAAATAATTTGTTGACTAATGCTAGGCTTTTTTTCTTTAACATCATTTCTCTCACCTGAAAAAATGATGAAAAATAATGCAGATGTGGCACAAGAACATTTGCAGAGAATTAAATGTTACGACATTTGTTAAAAATAAATAAATGTGGTAATACAAATTCTCCCATCTGTCTGGCTTTGATGGTAAATAATTCAAATCAAAATCATGTTCTTCTTTCTTTCCCCCCACTCATGTTTTAATTGTGATTTCCCAGACATGTCAGTAGGTTTCTTGTCAATTCTGTGATCTCATGTTTCACTTCAAATTAGTTATGTCAATTGTGGTTGGATAGTCCTTCCTCTTCCTGTGTCTTAGGGTTGTTGTTTTTGGTGCGTTTTGTTCTTTTTTTCAGTCAAGAGTTGGCAATAACCTCTCATCCGCGCAATCATTTTTTTGTCTGTTCTTTGAAGCAGAACCAACTATTGCAAAAAAATGAAGACATGGTTTTTCAGGGAAGAGCTGGCTGAAGCTAGCTAGATCCTTATACGTTCTGTCATGTGTGAGGACCAGCTTAAATTTCCAGCCTGTCTCCTGGCTCTGCCCTTCTGACCTCAACTCCAGAGATGCCTTGATCCCGGAATTCTCTCTCTAGTCCCCAGGGCATCGAGCAGCATTTCATTTCTTCTTTTCTCTTGCTCCCACCATCTGTTTTCTTTCTTTTTTTAAAAAATAACATCTTTATTGAGATATCATTTAAAGTTCACCAGTTTAAAGTGTGCAATTCAATGATTTTAATATGTCTACAGAATTGTGCAATTCTCATCAGAATCTAATTTTAGAACATTTTCATCACCCCCAAAAAGAAACTCTACCCACTGGCTGTCACACCCTATGTTAGTTTTTTACTGCTGCTGTAATAAGTTACCACAAACTTGGTGCCTTAAAACAACACAAATTTATTATCCTACAGTTCTGAAGGACGGAAGTCCAAAATGGGTCTCACTGGGCTAAAATTAAGGTGTCAGCAGGGCTGCGTTCCTTTCTGGAGGCTCTAAGGGAGAATCTGTTTTCTTACCTTTTCCAACTTCTAGAGACTGTCCACAGTCTTTGGCTCATGGCCCCCTTCATCTTGAAAGCCAGCAATGGCCAGTTGAGCCTTTGTCATAATGTATCTCCCTGATTGTGACTATCTCCCTCTTCCCTATGTAAGGACCCTTGTGATCACATTGCACCCACCTGGATAATCCAAGATAATCCCTTTATTTTAAGGTCAGCTGATGAGCAATGTCGATCCCCCTTTGCCATATAAAATAGCATATTCACAGGTTCCACGAATTGGGTTGTGGACGTCTTTGGTGGGGGGCATTCTTCTGCCTACCACACTCCCCATTCCTCCTAGGCAACCACTAATCTACTTTCTGTATCTACATGGCTATCCATCTTTTTCCTCCTTCATCATATTCCATCTTTTCCTTGAGTTTCATGATCAGCATTTGCTCCATCTCCTTTCTCTTATCAGTCTTTGTGGCCGCCATCTTTTCTCTCATTTCTCAAGAGAAGATGGGCTGCTGGAGATGGAATATAGGGAGGATTCTGGGGGGACGAGAGGACTAAAGTTTTACAGGATCAAATGCCAGAACAGAAACGAGGTACACAGATCAAACAAGATGTGATTAGTGATTAGCTATAAGTTATGGAGAAACCAAATTGGCTGGATAGTGTAGTAAGAACAGCCCTTTCTGTAAGTTTGATCATTTGGCTTGGGGACAACCCACTTTGTCTTTGAGGGTCTCAGTTACCTCAAGCTGTAAAAGGAAAGGGGTTGGATCAGATCAGTGGTTCTCAGAGTATGGTTCCTGGGCTAGCATCTCCTGGGAACTTATTAGAAATGCAAAACCTTCAGCCCTCTTCCACACTCCACCAGACCCACAACTTCAGAAACTCCGGGCATAACTTCACCCCTTCAATCTATGTTTTAACAAGCCCATCTGGTTATTCTGACATATGCTGAAGTTAAGAGAGCCACTGGACTAGATTATCTCTGAATTCCCATAGGAATTCTAGATGTGTAAAAAGAAATATAATTTTCAGCAGGAAGAAGACAAAATACTAAAAGGGAATAAGGTAATTTGAAAGTTTGGGGGTTTTAATGCATATTTGAAGGATTTCTATTTCATTACAATCCCCTGTCGTTCACTGTTTCACTTCATGACCTTCTAGATCCCAAACCCTAGAGTGTCTGTGTATCACTTCAAAGAACTTTAGAGGATATACTGCATGACATAAAATGAAGATCTGTATTTCTATTAAACCTTGCTGTGCGTGTCTCATACCCACAGGTCTATAACACCGGACCAAGCACCCTTCCTGGGTCATCTGTCATCATCTCTTTCCCCAATCGGCTGTCCTCTGGAGGTGCAGAGATGTTTCACATCCAGGAGATGGTGGTGAGTTCCCTTTGTTTCACCATTGCTTTCAGACACGCCAGCTCATTTATATTTTGTATTCCACCCTGAGGGTGCAGAGAGTTAACTCATTCTACCCTTTGGAAACACACCTAGAGAAGCCAGGAACCTGCTACACTTATGTTTCTACATTGAGACAGTTTAGTTAATGCCATAAGAAGACCTTTTGTGGAGAGGCGAGGGTTAGCTATGAACCTGACTCTGAAATAGACCTGACTGGCTCTGGGACCCCCGAGCCTCTGTCTGCAGTCTTGGGTATATCTGAATGCATTTCTCTGAAGGAAAGAGCCTCAGCATAACATAAAGATTCTCCAAGGGCCACTGATGCCTAGAGGATGAAGGATTGGCTCATAATGCATAAGTGCAGGTTGAAACTCAGGTTTATATGCAGAATATGCAATTCTACTTGACCCTAAGTCAACGGTAGATGGTTTTGTCTCAAGGAAAGCTTGATAACTAGCATACGATTATTCCCACCCACCTCCTTGAAGCAGTCTCCTTGGCTTCCCGGACATCACATTCCCTTGGTTTCTGCTTTCTTGCTGGTTTTTCTCATCTCCCCAACTTGTACAGGGCCCAGGGTCTCCTTCTTTTCTTCACTCAGCCTCAGAGGTCTCACCCAGACTCATGGCTTTATATTCAGTCTGTGCTGAATTCAACCTATACTTTGCACCCAACCATAGGCCAAGTACTGGCTCACTGTGGGGAACAAAACAGACAAAAACATAATAAATTTCCAGCCTTCGTGTATATTCCGGTGGGGAGAGACAAGTAATAAATAAGTAAAACATATAGTATGTTACATGATGGTAAATGCTATGGAGAAAAAGATAAAGGAAGCAAGGGGACTACTTGCTACTACTACTACTAAAACTAGTACTCAAGCCTGTAGTTTTAAATAGTGGGTCAGGCAGGTCTCGCTGAGACCATCTTTCAGGGTGGGAGACCAGAGCTGTCTCAGGGGTTTGTAATGTGATCTTCTTCGTGCATGAAGGCCTTGCCAAGTCAGTGTTTCATGAGAATTCTCTCTGCTTGATTTTAGCGCCACTTGGACATTTCTCTCCTTGGAAATGCCACCCCCCACGCTGCCTCCGCATGGTGTCCAGGTTGGACATCCAGGAGCCTCGGTGTGTGTGTGTGCTCATCAGCACTCACTCTGGGGGAGCTTTTTGCCTCAACATGAATCACTTATTGTACTTCGCTGGTCACAGCAGTTGATGGTAACACTGATTTTTAAAGCTGGCTGATGGCGAAGGCACATTTTGCATGAGAAACGCCCTGGGTTTTATGACTTACTTATACACAGCGGGTACTTGCAACAAGAAACCTCCCCTGCAGCAAGCTTGCTGGACTTCACTTGTATATCAGCCACCCTGGCCCTTGAAAGCAACCCAGCAATAACCCACGGCAAAGCTGAACCACTCATGTTTTTTTTTTTCATTGTCCATTACTATCTCCCCAGGTGAATACATGTTTTTTTCTCCTCCTTCACCCTCAGTTTTTTTCTGTAGAAATTCAAAGACCCACCCTATCCCAAATCAGCAATCACCCTGGCTGGAAGGCCCCTGATAAACAAGAAGAATTCAAGGCTTGGGCACCCTCCCGAGGATGCAACGTCCTTGGGTGATATGCATTCTTTTCCTTGATATCCTGTAGCTTAAATGATGTCATGTGAAGTGAACTGTTAATAATACAGCTTACATTAAGGGGATAAGAGAGAGAATGGGGGAAAGGAAACCCCTCTCGAGTGGAAGATGGATGTCCAGCCCTGGGGTGGATTTCCGGACTATGTGATCTAACCCTCTGCCTTTGAACAGAATACAGTCAAGACATCTCCCCAGTACAACAGAACCGTGTTTCCAGCAAGTTCTCTTAGTTGAGCCATTCCAGTATCCCTTGAATTCCATTTTTTATGATTATCCTCAATTTTTCATGCTCTAATTTCCCCGGCCTTTTCTGGGCTTAAAGTGGAAAACAGTTGCCTAGCTCCCTCTGTGGAGAAGTTGAGCTGTTACTTAGTCATTCTTCCCCCTTCTGTTCCCCACAATATCACAGTTCCTTTAATTCTCTTTTTCCCATTTTAGGCCATTCTCTTGGCTCTCTCCACATTGTCCAAATATGTAAAAATTCAAAACTGAGCATCAGATATATATATACCTCTTTATCCAGCCTCTCCTCTTCGCAAAAGGTTATTCCTCAGGCAGGGAGGACCCCGTTAACCATTTGAGAACTTGCTGATTCCCACTCTTAATAGTTTCTCTATGTATCTATCAGAAGCACCCTGAGGCTCTCTGTAAAAACATCAACAGGGAGACCTTAATGGCCAAAACAATGAGGTCTAAAACCCTGCATGACCTCCCACCCACCTTCTCAGGCCAGTATCCTGTCTCCAACCTCATCCCTGACCTTGTCTTCCAGCCACTCTGGACCAGGAAGGCTGCTGAACTACCCACCCTTCACTTCCCTGGGCCTTCTGACCTTGCTAATGGCTTCACCCTTCCCCTGGCTATACAAAGCCCAGTCAAAACCCAATTCACACGTCGTCTCTTCCATCAAGCCTTCACAGATACCTTCTCAGATAGTCCTACCTCAGGGCCTTTGCACCTGCCTCTGCTGAGAACACTTCCCCGAAACCTTTGCCTGGCTGGCTCCTTATAATGCATCTGAGCCTAAGCTCCACCTGTTCAGAGAGGTCTTCTCTGACCACATTAGCTAAAGTTGCATATCCCCTTGAACTTTCAGTCCCATTTCCCTGTGTGTTATTTTCTCTGTATCACCTGCCACCATTTAAATTACTATTTTTCATTGTCTCTCTTCTTCCACAAGATTAAAAATAGTGTGACAGTAAAAGGCATGGCTGCCTTGTTTCCTGTGTATTCCCAGTGTTTGGTGCCTGTGCCACAGTATATGCTCAATTAAATGAAAGAATTAGCTACTCCCACTCTAGTAGTAAACCATCACAAACATTGCTTTCTGCCTTAGGCATAGGTTTGTGTCCTTAGACACCTGTATACCCTGCAACACATCAAATGTGCACCTCCTGTGTCCTAGGAACTCAGGAAATCGGCGTTGAATTCAAATCCCCAAGTAAACATGTCTTGACAACTTCCCTTAACCCACAGCAGAGGTGGCCTTAATTGTAATGTGGGAACAAGTAAAAAGGTAAAGCTGAAATAAGGGGCTGAATTACTTATCAGAAATAAAGGCTTCTAAAAGCAAACTTAAATGCCACACATTACACACACACACACACACACACACACACACACACACACGTCAAGTCCAATGATCTCAGCAATGGCCTCAAACCACTTTTTGTCCTTCTCTCTGCACATGTCTGAATGTGAGCTGAAGAGTCAAGTTCCTGAAACGGGCCAGGATTAGGCTGGCTTTCTTTTTTTTTTTTTCTCAACAGAAGCCAAACACTTAAAAAGTGAAGCGATGGCTGATTGAACTCTGGAGCGAGAGTTATGATGTTCCTGGGCTGTCGGTTCAATTTTACTTTTGGCTAGAAGGACAGCTTACACTCAACACACACCCTCTGGAAGGTGGGGCTAAGCTTCGACCTGGGCTGTCCGTGCACAGTGTGGTCCAGAGGCTGCCCTTTAACCCATGTGGATAGAGCCAATGAATCAAGCCAGCAGGGCCATCTCCCTGCTGACTGAGGGCGCCAGCCTTATCAAGGAGCCCAGGGTCTTGTGCTCATGCCGCTGTGACATCTGGAAGCATTAATGCTCCCTTGCGGCGTGTGGGCCAGTTGGAATGCCCAGGCTTAGGTGCCTGGTGTTCTCTGGCCTTAACGGTGAGTGGTTACGCAGTTTACTTTCCTTCATTCCTTCTTTCATTCCTTAAAAGCAACATGACACAGAGCCCTGTCATTGCAGGGGTGATGGGTTGTTACCAAAGTCGATAACAGGAAATCTCACTGAGGATAAACAGAGCTCATCGGTCATTGCCGAGAAACACATGGTTCTCATTTAACCTGCTGAGGACTAATTGTGTATGCTTCGGAAGCACAAAAACAGGAAAACTCCTTTCTGACAGACACACTGACTTTCTTCCAAAGACCAAAAGGCGCTTTCTCAACATTGTTAGATGCTGAGCAGTAATTATCTCCCTCGCTGTCAGGTAGCCAACTTCACTCACTTCCCCTTAATAATCTAAACTTATGACCTAAAGCATGTTTCAGGCCTCCCATGAAGTCTTCAAACTTTAGGCTTAATGAATGGCATCTAGGTTTCTCTTCTCACTGCTCTGATGTTTATACTCTTCAGCAAAGGAGTGTAAGAGGTTAGATGCGAAACGTGGCATCCAGAAAAATGATTATTTACCTTTTGATAAAAGGGTAATAATGAAGTGTTACATCTACTAAGTGCAGAGATAACCCAGTAGGTGCGCTACTTTATCTTTTACCGTAAGATGGGTCCAACAGCCAGAACCAGAACTTAAATAAACCAGTACAAGTGCAAGGGCTGTGTTATGTCCCATAGGAGGGCTACTGACTCATTTATTATCCAAATCCGCAGACCATTCTGCTTCCAAAATGTTTCATTATCTGTGGAAGTGAAATTTTTGGCATGCATGTCAAGTGCTCAGATAACATATTCACGTCTCACTTTTTTGCTAAGAGAATCTGACCGCATCTGGAAATTCTTTTGTGTCACTGCTTCTCTGAAACTGCATCCCATCTGCGTCCCTTTAATTCCAGTGAAAGGCCATCCCCACGATTGTGAAATGGGCCTCGTCTGGGAGACTTGTCTTTCTCTGAGTCAATGTGAATGAATTTTCTTTGATCGGGCAGCCCGGAGGTGGCCTGCACTCTTGACTCTGCAGCCTGTTGGCCTGTCACATCCAGAGGAAGAGGGTGCGGGGGAGTGGGGAGGGAACTACATTGTTTTAGGCAAACCCGAGAGCTGGTGGGAGAAAAAGAAAACATTGGCTTTTATCATAAGATGTGAGACTTTAATGGAATCATGGCAGAC